TCTTCTTTTTTACAACAATGTGTAATATATTCTGTACAAAAAAACTTTTTATAAATATTATTTCTCGAAATGTAATTAATTTTAACGATTGTCCTGTTTCATAGACAGATTTCATCGCGCTCTCCTTTATTGTCAAATGTGCACATGTCTATTATTGTTATTACGAAGCGGAAATGAATGATTCATCAGGGCCGATGATGTGACCGCCAGGTTCTCGTGAGAAAGTTATGGACAAATACGACGGTATCTTCTGCGTGCGGACAAGAGAAGAGACCACGAAAAATTATCAGCTTTCCTCGCTCTTCCCTTTCGATATGACCTTATTGCCGCACGTGCAAAATAAAATTGTTCTTCCGCGACGGTGATTTTTCAACAAGAAATTCGCACATCACGCGCTTTTCAAAAATAAACGTCTAGAACGAGGAAAAATCAAATCGTATTAATACTATTGAAATAACAACGCCTGCAATTACTCGACAGATAAGTTTATTCTATCACTTTTAACGGTAGTAAAAGTATCGGTTTTGCTCTCTGGCATTTCTCAGGCGGAATCGGAGCGCGATAGATAACCTCCATGTTAAGGTTAAAACCTCGTATGGCGGCAAAGAGAAAACACGTACATATCGTTATGTGTCGTATGTACGAAAATGCAATTAACAATTTACAGTACGAGTGACAAGCGAGAGAACGATCGCACGCGCGTTTGCGGAATTTGATTTATTCAAAGGTTGTCCGGCGCGGGACGTGAATGATAATAAGCGCGCGGACAAGCTCTGATATCGATAACCGGTTTAATAAGAGTATTTATAAAATTACAACGTTAATGAAAGCGAAAGTGTGCAGTCACGCTATATCTTTTTTTCGCGGAATTCGTGCCGCCGTCGAAGCGATGAATCGAAACGGCGATGGATTTCCACGATAGAAACTGCACGCCGCCGATCAGATAGAACAAAGTTGCGCGTAAACTACTGCGAATTTGTGTAATCTAAAATATAGTACTTATTATTAATATCTTAATTTATTATAAATTTTTATCAAATTATCGGATTTCTGTGATCAGATCGAAGATATGGTCACGGCATAATAAACCCATACTTTTTAAAATCTTTAAAGTAAAAAAAAAACAATAAATTTAAAGAAAATAAATATAATGTAATGTTTCTGTAATGGTGAAATATTCGAAATATAAAAGAATAGATTTCGATAGAATAAAGATATCACAAAACAATTAAACGGTTTTTCTTGTAATTTTTAGATTTAACTTGTTGCTTGAAACAGGTCTTAGAATTGTATTTTATCCGCAAAGTGTAGAGATATAATTAGCGACACATTTTCGCGGGCGCATTGATCCACTGGCATAATGTAGTTAATATATGTTTGTTTCTACAACTAATATTTGCTCAGCTAACGCTCGGGCTCTAACGTACTGCTTAAGCACGGTATTACGAGTAAGATAAGCAGAGGAACACGTACGTAGATCACGACGACTCGTAAGTCGCTCGAATATGATAAAAATTGCGAGAGAGGCCAAGGTTGATACTCCAATGAGCGGCTATTTTAGAGCACAATAGGGACACACATCGATGTAGAGTGTGACCTGTCTTTACGTCATGTAAGTGCGTAAGTAACGAATAAAATGCGCAAATGTCGCAATAAATTTCTAAAGCGTAGAATAAAAATTATAAACGCTCGTTATATGTCTGTTACTGTAATATGAAAAATGCACTACTTGCAGTGTCATGACCACACGTGTCACGTGAAAGGAGTTTTAACACTTGAGTAATCGTATGGATTTTCATAAATTTAAATACAACACGTTAATGATAAATAAGTGTATATGCAGGAAAAAAATACCATCGAATAAATCGAATTTAGATATCAATCACTAATATTGCAGCAAACAAAAATGAAAAATAATCATGAAATTCCTATTGGTCATTGAAATGCTCGCGTTTTGTGTCGCGTGACTATGCAAATCGCATACGCCGAGCGGCAATGACAGTATAGTAATGCGAGTTATTACTCTGCCGCATGACTATGATTATGTTCTCGACGTACACGTCTATATATATCTATCAATCGTATACTCGATACTCAGGGATCGCAGCAAAAAATTCGTCAATTTATCCACGTTTATCGATTGATAATTGTTTATAACTTTGATATCTTAAACCTCAACAATTTATGAAATATTTTGCATTATGCTGTAACGTGTTTTCTTATAGTACATTAATATTCGAAAATTTTGTTTATTTTCTGCTCCCCTTCGAAAATAAAAGTTTAATGAATTAATAGTATCATTATTATAGTATCATCTTATAATAGACGCGTTTAAAGTACTTTAAACCCAAATCAAACTAGTATTACTGTAAAAAACTGAACTGTTCGGATATATCTCCTTTTGTCGGATACAGCGAGTAGAGAAAACCCTGAAGGGACAGAACTGAATGGCGGATACTTGTTTCTCCTTTACGATCAATGCCAGTTATACAAAGTCGAAGCCAACTTTTTATCGCTTCTCACCACGAGACTCGTAGAACATCATTAGTGTTGCTTTACCACAAAGGTGGTCAACTGAGATCTAAACCCGTAACAACTGCGTTTTATTAATACATTATTTTTTCCAGCGACAACTAAGTTATTTTTTTAACACTTGAAATAAAAGATAAAATGAACAATAACAATTCCGATGCTCCAACTGCATTAGAATATATTGTAATATTTTCGGTGTATAATTGGCGGTCTGCATTGTTTTATTTTTAAACGAGAAATATGATAAAACAAGAAAAATTTTCAACAAATGTCTAAATTTTTTTAGGATCTTTGAATTATAATATACACCTAACAATCTTATCACATTATCATAATTGAAGAATTATCATATCATCACTACACGATATCTTGTGTTACTATCGTATTAATATTCCGTAGCTCTCATTCCAATTTATCGTTTTCTTTTTTTTAACTATGTCAAATTTCTCCCGTAATTCATGTATTTAGGATACGATATATCAAGCTTCACAATCGACCATTCGCAACTGCCTAAAATGCTAGAAAGCTTACGAAATTTTGAATTCGAAATAGTAGCGAGTAGTTTTCAGAACTTATTTACAACTCACGCACTAGCAAAATAAATATTCATTAAAGATATTTGAGTTTCGAGTTTACATGAAAAAGCTATTTAACGGTTTCCTATAGATTTCGTATTAACGTGAAAGTTGATAGTTTTAAGTATATATATCTCACAATATTTATTATATAAAGTTCATTTTTTAAAGTAATAAACTCTGTACGATAAAATAAAAATATTTACGATATAATATAAAAAAATTGTATCTGCAAAATAAATCTCCCGTAATGTTTCAATCCTTTTAACGTATTCAACGAGGCAGACTTCTTTGCCAAGATGTTTACAAACAGATATTTCGCGTAAAGGAGCCGCAGAAGGCATTTTTTCCCCTCCTGTATTTGTCGAATCGATCAAGCGCGAGGCACGCATAACTCTATTCGCTAATCGACGCTCGTCAATGCGGCAACTCACGTTCCCGAGGATTTTCGGAGGTCCCCCAAGCGAATACGTCGCGTTGTGTCGCACCGTGTCGCGCAATCTCGAATTTTATCCCCTCGCGTATAATTCAACCCGGGTGGCAGACGTGATCGGCAAGCGACGTCCGGTCCATTGGCCATTGCACCATTGGTCAGAGAAGAAAACACGAATTTCTACAGCCAAACTAAACAAATTGACGAGATAAACTTTGCCGCAAAATGTGAGCAAGTAAAAATATCGATATAAATATAATACACTAATTTTTAATTTATACAAGAGATATTTATATTATTTAATAAAGCAAAAAAAATTATAAAACATTTTAGAATCGTAATAGATCTCGTTAATCGTTAGGCCGTTGAAAGTCGAAGTAAGCTTTTAGAATTATTGACTTTTATTGTAACACACTCGAACAATATATTTAGCCACCTATTTTTCAAAAATATTGCAAAAGCGCAGTTAGAGTGAAGTGAATCGTGCACGAGGTTCACGCTGAATTATTCACATTGCGCGACGTTGACCCACTGACGTCGGGAGCAGCCAAAATTAGTGAAAACGGTACGCTTCAATTGCTATTGTGGCAGGATGACGTAGCTGTCGTGAACATAGATATGGATGATCGATGAGAAACTTTAAAACGCAGTAGCTATTTTAAATTTGTTTGAAAATTTTCATTGGTTTGTCGCTTTTCAAACGTATAATAATGAAGAATTTGTTGTCATTTAACTGTCCAAAATAATGATTCTTCTAACATAAAAGTATCTCTCTTACGAAAAATACTTGGTGCACACATATATAAAGATAAAGTATGCTGGAAACAGCATATCGCGAATTGCCAATGACGCAGTATATACATATACACAAGCCACGTGTAAAAATAATCTCAATACACTCATCGTATCGAACATGCAAACTCAAAGTTTGCTCCGAAAAGAATAACAAGAAGTCAGAGATGTTTTTTCAGAGAAGAACGATGTTACAAAATTTAAAAAAATAACCATTATCGAATTTATCATTTCAAATCGCGCATTCAATATATGTAAATACATTATAAAAAATATCGATCCATTACATTGTTAGAAATAATGATCCTATTATAAATTTGTTATTGTACCTATTATTAGAATTTTTTGTAATAAAGTATCCAAGAGAGATACAAAATGTAATAATTTTTAACTAAAATTCGTAATGCAACCAAAGCCATATTTCACAAAGATCGAACAATGTGTCCTAGCCATTCTATGTTAGAGCAAAGCACAAACTTCGAACGTAAATAAACCGCCATTGAATGAGTTTCTCAGGTCAGATCTCGATCATCACCTCAAAAGAGCAACACACCCCTGGATCCATCTCAACCTTTCGAATCTTTCAAGGAATTTTTCTCACGGTCGCCATACGATAATCAGGGAGGGAAGAAGAAAGGCGAAAAAAAGAAAATGCAACTTTTTCCTACCTGTCACACGTTGCGTAGCTTTTTGATCACTGTCATGCGTCATCGGCAGATGTGTAGAGTCGGACGCTCGTTTGTAAGGAAGAATCAACCAGAGAAAGAGAAGATAACACTCTTGAGAAGCGAGAAAGAGATGCGGGATGGGAGGAAGAGAAGCGAGAGAACACGCAGCCTCGATGCAGCACCACTGTGGCGAGATATTTGGCGGGCTCCAAAATAGCAATAGCCCACGTCCTCCGTCGGCGTGTTGTTGCTTCCTCGGCGCAGCGGCGACGACACAGACACACGCTGCGCACTGCTTCGTTCCTCCTCACCGTTGCCTTCTTGTCGTCAGTCCTCCTCACTTTTATACCCGGACACCGTATAGAAGAGCCAGTTTTCGCGCTGCCGCCCTTTCCGCTCTTCCCTCACTCGGTCACCGTACGTATCTTCGGATGCACCGCTGCGCGCTCAACAAGCTTACGTCGTCGTTGCTATCATTGGGAGTTCGCCCCGGCGTACGCTCCCCCCCAAGTGATAACCTGGAAAAATACTCATTCGTCCCTATTCCGCCTTTCCGACCCGGTACCCGCCGGCCTCCCCTCCGCCTCCGGTCGATCCGCCGCCCGCGACCCGATCTGCAGTATCTGGGTATCCGTGTCGTCGTGCACGTCGATCGCACTTTGCACGCATTACAGATCCATCGATTCTCCGTCTCTTCGCCGCTGTCTTCCCGCTGCCACCCGCCGCCACCGCCGTCGCCGCCGCCGCCGCCACGCCGATGCCAGCCTCAACGTTTCGCGTGGATCGTCTTATCTCGGAGTGCGCGGCACTTGGTACATCATGGTGGGATTATCGAGACTTTTTAGCTCTTCAGAATTAGCTCCTTCCTGTCTGAGAATCGATCTTGGTATTTGTTAGAGCTAAGTTGACTAATTCTCATATTATCACATAGTTAGGGCGGTTTTGGCGACTAATGGATAAATGTTGAGTATGATATTTTCGAGATGTGTGGATGATTTGTATAGTGCTGATCTACGACTTAAATGCTACTACTACATGCTCTGCGGCTACTCGACTGATCGCGCTGATCTCTGATAATAGGGTGAAAGTTATGATTTCTCGAGAACTTGGCGCGTTATCTCTCGCACTGGAAATGAAAAGCGACAAACTCATCACTTTTCCCAGATCGATAGATATTCCCCAAAGTTCGCTGTTGATTTTCGCTCCGAGTTGCACCACGCTCGCGGTATATCCGACCACCCGCTGTTCTTAGCGCGAACAATTCTCCCGAACAATCCCCCAGCGAATAATCACCCCACTGCGCCTCACTTCCCTCGCAGCCAATATTTTCCGAGCAAGTTCAGAGCTTTTCTCATACGCCGATTCGACGCGATTTATCGCGATAACTTTGCGAAGCACCAGCTAAACAATCGACTAATTACGCTTTTTCCCCGTTTTGATGCCCGAGCACTATTTTCCCGGATGCAACCTCGCGAATTATTCGCTATATTCACCGTGTCTCTCCTCGATCCCTGCTTGTGCGGAACGACAGAAAATTTTGCAAATTCCACTTTCCGCTCTACTTCGGGCCAATCTTTTCCTAAGCGAGGTTCTCGTTCGTCAAGGTATTACCCTTCCGGACCGATTAAACCTTCTTTCCGGTTCACTTTTCTTTCTCTTCTTCTCGCACGTGCCAGTTTATCCGGAGCACGCGGTTGACAAGCCGAAGCGACCGAGAGAAACGCTGGAGTCTCTCTTTGCGGAGCAAGAAAGACGAAATGATGTTCGCGACTCCGCGGTTCGCGCGCGACTGGCCGAGGGCGAGAGTCGTTATTGGGAGCAGAGCGCCTCAAGTCTGTTCCCTTCTTTCTCTCTCCCTCTTTCTGTCGCACTCTCTCTCACACTGCCTATCTTACTCTGTCCCTCGCACACCTGCTCCATCACGTTTCCATCGATCTCTTTCTCTCTCCAGTTCCCTCACTCGATGAATCGTTCCCTCTCCTCGTCTCGCTCTGTAGCAGGGAGCTGTCTCTCTCCGTCGTTCCCGCGGCTGACGCACTCGCGGTGGGTTGTGCCGTTGGTCTCGTTCCCTCTCACTCTCGTTCCGTCTCACTCTGTCTGCCTTGTCGTTGAACAAGTTCACTCTCGGCTCCCGTTCGACTCGGAGCAAGCGCGAAATGAACGAAAACGAAACCCAAACTCGCGACTGCCTTCACCGTCTCTTCTTCTTCTTCTTCTTCTTC